GAAGCACTCATGGGGTGTACACTGGATAAACAAAAAACTTGGGTATTTGTTTGCACACAAGAAAAAAAACAGTTTACTTGTACAAGATATTATTTTTTCAATAAAATAAATACACTAATGTATGTGGCATGCCTTATGGAGCTATGGTTGTGATTTTCAAAAAAAAATGTGAAAAGTGCCCAAAAAACTATTTCGCTACCTTAATAATTAAAATGCCATCATTTATTCTGGCATTTCAGTGCCACATTTTTATGAGATTTCTTAGTTAATGGACATAATTCAAAATTATACAGTTTCCTCAGATGAACACCAGTGAACTTAGAATTGCTCAATTTTTAGTGGAAGATGATCCTACCTTAATGTTGGTCTGACTTGAACTCTTCCTGGGGATTGAACAGTAGGTGATGGTGTTTTTCTACTTCTTGTTTTATACTGATGGGGTTTTGGTGATTCTACTGGAGGTGGTAGGGGTGGCAAGTAGATACTCGCAAGGCCTGCAGCGAGTTTTGCATTGAGGTTCTCAATGGGTGAATCAATAAGTCCTTCTTGTCTCTTTGCTTCAAGATCAGCTTCAACCTGAAAATTAAACAAAGAATATTATTATACACTTGACACTGAAAAATAAAATAAAATACACCATTCAGTGAAATGCTTGATCTGCATTAGTTCCAATTCCCTTGTTGACCCATTAAGGATTATGATGTCATACTCAAACAGTTTTCTTTGTTTACAGGTCAACAGATTTGATCGCTGTACTGCCTTTGTGCATACCTTGCTCTATTCTTGTGATAATATTAATAATATTAAGACTAAACCCAGGTATTTGTACATCAATTACTGACTTTAAAGTTTTACTTAACTGTAATGAGTTGGGTCTAGGAATTATCACGTAAAATCGTTTTTAATCTTAATACAATGTAACCGCAATATAATGAACACCTTTATAATGAATTTCCTGATATAATGAACACATAACATGTATTATGTGCTTCAATATAGTGAAAATTTCACTATAACAAACTAATTGTATGTCTCCTAAAGAATTTGTTATAACGAGGCTACAGTGGTATGTGGTTTTGAATGAATGTTGTATCACACATAAATTCACAGTAATTTGAAACTTGTGAATAAATTTGTCATTGCATATATTTACCGTATATGCATATTCAGACCATCAAACTTTTCACACAATAGTAGCAAGACCCCAATAAAAGTCAAGGAATGATATACTACCGTAGTAAATGCAGCTTTAACCCCCTGAGTGTTAATTGACACATTTTGTTCTAATCTCCTTGTTAATTTTGAACCAAATGGACGCTATTTTCCACTGGTCAAAATTTAAGAAAACATTATCTCATTATGTGAAAAATAAATGAACTTTCTCAGAATGCCCCTTATTACAAATTTCTGTGATTCAAGATAATTTAAAAAAACAATGCATCTTTGTGAATCCTGCATAGGCATTGGAGGACAATTCATAATTGGTAGCAGATGATTTTCAAACAAATATATAATTAATTCAATTGCAAACATTCACACTCAAAATACCATATATATTGCACATATTTTTACTGCACCATTGAAATGACTTACGTTGATCACAGACACACCTCTGACATATACATAATAACATGTTCTACTGATAGTGCAAAAACACAGATGAAATTTTGGCATTTTGAACGTATTTCTCATAATTTTTCAATATTTGGCTATGAACTTGAAATTACCATCTCAGAGTTCAATTATTCAATGAAGCCCTATTTATACAAGGAGTTTGCAATGTTGCATATTTCTGCTAATTAATATGCATAATTTTCACAATTGGAAGATTTATGGCATTTTTGAAGATAAAATTTTGCAAAAGTTGATGACACTCCATGTTGTATGATATTTGTTTCTCATGAATTTAAAGTGTTTTTTTTAATGCATTATCTATTTATTTATGGTAATAGGTAAATTTAAGAGACAACACAAGATATTATTCATGTTACCTGGCCTACTTTAAGCGCTTCTAAGACTCTATCATCTCTTTCCTTGCTGCTACATCGCATTAATGCATTCCACGCAACTGTGCGTAAACCTTCCCGTGCTTTGTCTCCTTGGCAACAACGGCATATTTTGACCAGTCCCTGCACTGCAGCGTATCTGATTCTCCAGCTCCAGCTACTATGACCTGTGACCCAACAAAAAATAAAATATTTGTACTAATAAGATTTCAATCAGAGACTACTGTAAAATCTGTATTAGAAACCCCGGCTTCTATTAAAATGGTACAATGCAACAGAGGGAATGTGGCTTCTATTAGAGCATCTACACATATAAGAAATGATGAATGTTTGGTTCTCAATTATTCAAAAGGAATGGGTGTGACTTCTATTAGAGGTGCAGCTTCTAATACAGATTTTACGTTAGTATGAGCAGAGCCGATGTCTCGTTTTTTTGTTTCATGTAGTTAACCAGGTTTTTTTTTTAGTTTTTATCCTTGGACTATATCAAAAAAATCCTAATACACATGCAAATGTTAATAATATGTAAACATATGGTAATGATATGTAAATAATATGCAAGTATATGCAGATGATATGCAAAATTTGCAGATATGCAGAATATGCGAACAATATGCAAAATATGCGGACGATATGCAAAATATGCAGACGATATGCACAATATGCA